CGCGCGCGCGCGCGCGCGCGCGCGCGCCACACACACACACACACACACACACACACACACACACACACCATGCACGTAACACACACGTTACACATACGCACATACATACGCACGCAATCGCATGTGCGGCGCGAGTGCAGGTTTACAATACACAGATTTAACGACTAGGTAATTAATTTACAAGTGATTAAAAAAAGATTAAATGTATAACTAATTAATACTAAAGAATTATTAGGAGACTAATAGGTGATTTGCATATGCATATGCCCGTAGAACGAAGGAGTGAATGCGTGTATAAGTGCGGGCGTGGTGTGATAGTTTAACGTTAACAACATCGCGTTTATCGCGGATCTGTTCGAGCTCCGGCTTCATCGATCAGTCTCTCTCGGTCGCCGCAATGATCTCGAAACATAAATGGCGAATTTAGGCTCGTGTCTCGCTCCCCCGATGCGTTCTTCCTATTACGCGCTATCACGGCAGGACGATACGTGCCGGTCGTGGCGCAAAAGCGCTCGATTATATATTTCAGAAACGCATGTAAACGAAGGGGAGAGTCACGACGTCGTCACGCAATCTCATGTTTGCGAGGACCAGTGACTCTTAACATCGGACAGAACCGATTTTCGCAGAGCCATATGTGAATTCGTCAAATAAAACGAGGATACTCGCGCGAGGAAAAAAAAAAAACAAGGATTGCCCGTCGGTGTGATATGCGTTCGTATGCGTAAAACATTGCGAAAACGCGAGGAGCATGAGTCACAAGTGATTTTGTAATATTTCTTATAAGTTGTAGCTGCCATATCCAATAATTAAGTACTAGGTGCGTTGAGTGATAATCTGACGACGACTGTTATGCTAATAATAATGATGATAACGACGATGATAATGATGACGGTGATCGTGATGACCGAACGTGCTGCCGCACGTGTGTCTCAGTTAATTTGGATGAATTGTGCTAAGATATTGAGAGAGACGACGGGTCTAAAGAAAACAATAACAAGTTCATTACAATTATGTAATTATAAATAAGAGGAAGAGACGAAGAGTATTATAACACGTTGTTAATTGAATTAATAAAATTAGCCCAAAGTAACGGAGAGATGTTTGATTTGAGCGAAATCTTTATTGGCGTCTATGTTTTCGTTTCAACGGATGTCTCCTGATATGGCTTCTCCTAACTGATGTCAGTGTCGGTATAAGCATGTCTTCCGAGTTGTTCGTTTTATTACACTGCTTTTGGTCCATAGGAAACATGTATTCTAAATCGATGTCATACCTATCGTATCAAAAAGATAAAACATTATTTTTGATGATCTAATAAAACAACACGAATAAGTTTCAATGCAATTTTAGTTTTTTAATATTTATTTATTTGTTATCAAACCAGTATCTTTTTAATAAAAATTATTTAATTAAATTTTAAAGAAATTATTAAATTTACTAATAGACGCTTTCTTGAAAAGCGCCATTAATAAAAGATCTTGAAAATAAAGTACTCTCAAGTGATTAATGATTTTAATTATATTTTGCATTTTGTATTGAAATACGATTTTAGAAATTTCTTTATTTTAAAGATTATTTTTCGAAACATATAATTTTTAAAAAAGGTTTGAAAAAAACAACTTTACTAAATAACTATAAAATAATATCAAAATGAAACAAATACCTAGGCAGCTTCTCTCGAAGATAAGAAATGACGTTTGCCCCGAGGCTCGCTTCACGACTCATGATGAAGCTAGATAAGTATCGTGGGCTTTCGCTCTTTTCAGCACAATGCATTAGTAACGCCCAGGATTTATAATCTGAATCTAACACATACGTATTGTACACTCCTTCGTCTGAAAATATGAAATTTATCATGAAATAATTTTACGAAAACTCAGTATTTATTTTTACTGATCGATTTATTGTGATTAATGATGATTTGTCGAGAAAATATAGTCTTGCATATAGTGAATTTTAATAAAAATTTATATTTAAAGTTGGATTTCGATCAAACGAGGCAAATTACGCGAATAAATATGAATGTACAAATTAGTTTAATAAATTGTGAACTCGCTGGTTTATTAATCATTCACGTTTGATTGCGTTTGTTTGCTTGATCTCGATTTGACTTCATGATAAATTGATTAAATTAAAACTGTTAATTAAAAATTCGGAAATAGATTAAAATAGATCATTAAAAGAGTAATGTATGAAAAACGTGAAACTTTTTTTATTGCTTTTATATAGAAAGACTAGAGGAGAAAAAAGATTGTTATGAAATAAATAACTGTATGGAAGTTTACATGAAAGTTCGGCGTGCGTCCAATGAGCAGGTAAGTCCGACGAGGGGATTTTCCATGTGATGTTACCGACGAGCAGCTCGTTAATGGGATCGTCAGTAAAGCTGTAAGTGAAATTCATAGTAACTTCGGCGTTTTCGGGCGAAACCGAGAGCTCGGCTCTCATGCATCTGTACGCGAGTGCTTCCTCCGAACTTGCATAGTACTGTACTATGTACCACGATCCAAGAAACTGCAAGAAGCGCAAGGTGTCGGTTATGTATGGGTGCATGTAGGCGTGAAGTCACGCGTAAAATAGGCGCAACAGTTTACCATGCCACGCTGATTTTCTTTGCGCTAACGTATGCTAATAAATGTGTACGTTACAACGGGTCAAGCTCGATTGTACTCGACGGTAAACGGCGGTTTAGAAGCAAAAAAATTTTCCAGAATGACAATCATCTTATTTCTCCGTTCGAAAGCACGATAGATTGAACTTCTTTACTATGTATTTTCTTACTTAAATTAGAGAAGTTTAGTTTATTCAACATTCTTCCTTTATTTTTGTTAATGAATTATTGTTTAAAGGTACTTTTACAAATTTGATTCTTATTATATCTAGCACTTTAATTTTGATGCTGCGTTTATTTTAATTTGCTACGAGAAATCTGATCTTTTTTCAGAGATTTATTTTTACAGTTAACGTTCTCAAGTGTTGCTAAATGGAGAGGAATTCTATTAGCCTCAAATTCAAATTCAAACTCTGTTGAGCCTATTTCCAGAATAGTTGAGTGGGATTCAAAATGAATTTGGAAAAACTAAGAGTCATAATATATAAATATATTTTCAGTTCTCTTTTACATTTTAAACATAATCTCCTATTATTGAGCCTTGTAGTAGATTTTGCGTTATTGATAGAACGAATTCTTTACATTATCTCTTTACATTAAAAAATAAAAAAGATCAAAAGTACAATGTTATGTTTTATCTTATCTGCGAAAATATGAAAGCACACAACAAATTGCTTATAATGGAAGCGTAAGATGCTTCGAAATTTTGGTTATCATAAGATATATGTTTATATTCTGGTTCAAAGCTTATCTTTCTTATAAAGCGACACATGACACATTCGATCTAAAAAAACTTAATATTTTTAATACAGATGAAAAATTTTATTATTTCAAGTTTATTTTCAAACATAATAGTGCAAGAATAGAAACGGCCATATCTTAATAAAAAAAAAGTGGCATCTCTGTTTGAAAAAATAAGTTACACTTTGTTCTTGTCATTTTGCAATTTATTTTCCAAAACAGATAAATATTAAAATACATCTGCCATACAATTCATTTCGCTTATAACATATATCATCGTTTATGATAAAAAAAACCAACTAAAATTGTCGCGTGTATGTCCGAAATAGTCATCCTTTAAATACATATCAAGATCTAAGAATAAATTCGCCGGACGTCGCTCTGAAAAGAAAGTCGCGCAAGAAGAGTATCGCTAAATTAGAATATTCATATTTCCATACATTATAAAATTTATAATAGCTTTGTATAAAATGAAAATTAAAAACAAGTTTGTAAATTTCATAAGTATTTCATTTAGTTTTACATAATTATTTTTCAATTCACTCTGCTGCTTTTTAATTCGCTTTTTGAATTGAAAATCTCTACGATGTATTTCGCTTTCTGTCATTAAAATCTTTACCCATCTTTTTCTATGCAGTTATTAATTTTGCATATATATCTATTTAAATAAAACCTGTCCAAAAGTTAATAGTGTACGCGATATTATATGTGAAATTTATTCTCAATGGAAATGCCAATGTCAAATAGCATTTACTATTTTCATGTAAAATTGGTTATTGTAATAATTGCATAGTAAACCATCATTTCTATTACTATTGCATATTGCTCTTAATGAATAATCGTGTGAATAATTGTGCTCCATTTAATTAATATTCGATCAACATTCGGCAACAGGAAATGTTCGTTATTTGTTTGCGAAGTCACATTAGCGGATAATATTGTAGGAATATAAAAGCTGTAAAGCTTAAATAGTTGACAGGATTCGGAGATTATTATAAAAGCGAAGCTGTTGTAATCGTGCAGACTGAGTGTCAGATAAATAAAGGATCTCGAGTACGAAGCTCGGTCGCTTAATTTTTCTCCGACAAATATTTCCTACAAATATATCTGTATACTTCATATTATTTCGCACCAATATCGTGTGTTACGTCCGATGGATTCCCCGATTTTTCTCTTTCGAAAACTAACGGCTATTCATCAGTAACAGATAATACTTCGAAACAAAAGAAAAAAAATTTTTTCTTTTATTACTAAATTACCGACACGTGACTTCCTCAAAGGTCTACTTCAAGATAGAATTTTTTTTAAGATATAGTCTGTTATCAAATCATCCTGAACCAATAAATTCTTTGTAAATAAAAGTTTCGCTGGCGACCAAAATTCTATAGCTAATAATAAAATAAAACACATATTGATACGCGGGAAATGCGGAAGTTACCGAGATCATTCGAGGTCGACACCCCCGAAACCGAAGTGTAACTAAAAAAATCGCCAATCAGAAGTTTGCGATTAGCAGCCGATAGTTCTCTATGAAAGAAAAGAATCGTGAAGTCCGTCGGACGTAACACGCGTATTGGATGAATTACATCAAACGCGCGTCGATTCTTCATGATACGATTAAATAAGGCGGCAAAAGTAAATTAATAGCCATCGATGAAACCATTAAACTTTGTGATAATTTCTAGTAATTATTACAAGAGAATTATTTCGACCTTTTGTAGAAATAATTGTAACATATCATTTTCCTCAATATTTCTCTCGATAAATATAAAATCAATTTTTTTTAACCTTTTTAAAAAACTAATCATTTATCAGACTACAAACATTTGATTTCAAAATATAAAAGATTTAATATATATTTTAACATATATTTTGTGTATATTTCATATATATTTAATATATTAATATATTAAATATATATGAAATTTAATATATTAATATGTATTAAATATATTTTAGGTAATATCTATTCTTTGTTATGTAAAAGAGTATAAAAATCTAAAAAAAATAAATCAAAATAAAACATTGATGCATGTGGAAGTAGCCTATGTAATTCTATACGGGCACATCCTCCGGAAATACGAGAAAGAGTTCAAATTATTGACCTATCTTTGTATGCATATAAGACAATGAATTTGTGCTTACGAATACATAAAACGCAAGCGTAAACGGTTTATTATATAAAAATTCGCAAAACGGAAAATTACTCGGGGATTACTCGTGGAATGGGCTCCGTACCTCAGATATGTCAAAGTTGCGTATGCCTTTTACTTTCGGGCATTTGGTCTTATCCTCCCGTCTCTTCCAAACGCCGGCGGTGTCGCCGACAAGAAGACCGATGACGAGCAGCGTCACCGCCGACCAACGGAATCCCGAGCGCCGTCTCGTTCCGGGACACATTTTCACTATGCATTCAGATTCCGATTCGTTCGCGAGAAGACGCACGAGCTGGCTAGATCGCGCGCGCGATGTCTCTCCTGAACTCTCGGGTCTCGCTCGGCCGACTAGAGGCCACATACGTACCGAGCACACGAAGAAACGGACGCGAGGCTCATGACTATTACCACACGGACGAAGAGGGGGTGGCCGCTATCACGTTCCTCCCTTTGCATTCTTGCTTGTTCCTTCGTTTTCAATCGGCAACTTGTTCCGCGCGTACAATCCTCATAACTGGCGCCGACTGGGGCCCAGGACTCGTAGGCGTTGATCGCCGTTTATATAGCTAAAGAGACACGCTTGCCAGTATTCCCGAGTCACTCGTTCCCGTCGCCCGATTGTCCCGTTCTCCAGCTTCGTTCTCCGGTCCGGGACCAACGAGAGGCACGAACGACAGAAGAATTCTCGCGATCCTTTCACGATTGCGAAGTTTACGATCGTATCATCTCTTGTAAGAGACTTGAATTACATGAATGCCGATATGATAACCGGCATGGTGGTCTCACTAATACATATGCAAGTGTAATGCAAGCACAAAGAGGAGATAGTCTTTTATGCGGAATAGAAATAAAATATTTTTTGATATCATCAATGTGCTCGCAATAATTTTGTCCTCCAAATAAATAAACCAAATAAATAAAATACCAATGTAATTTCAATTTACTCATTTGCGCTGATGCATTTTGCTACTACGAAATAATTCCATTAAATGGATAAATACATAAAACTTAAGTAAAATATTTCGAAAAGTGATAAAATAACAGATTTATTTATTTATTAGAAAATTTTGATGTTGCCCACGTACATCGGGTATATCGATTATTATTCACTATGCACAATTGAACAGCGATTCGATAATAGTACAACACTTCGAATCGATATCAGTATGCAGCAACTTGCACGAGGCAAACGTGTTCAACATATAATATTGATACGAAAAATTTTACTTCTTGCGTATATGACGAATTCTGATTATATTTGACTATTCAATTATATGGAATTTATAGAAAATATAAAAGCTATATGAGAATTTATAAATTTTCTTCTTTTTTTGTAATAATAACAGTTTGATCAATATCTTTACATCTATTTGTACCGTTTCCATTTATTTAAAAAGAAAAAATATATTTGTTCTTAAAAGAAATAGGAAATAGTTAAAATAATTTTTTTATTTTATTAGAACTTAGATATTGTTGCAACTAAGAATTGAGTTGGCTTCTAATATTAGATAATTCAAAGTTTTTCGTCGTTGTCGCTTCGACAACGAAGAAAAAAATGACGTACAAATTTACGACTCAGATCTGATTATTTAGGTCATCTAAGTTTAAGTTTAGTTGCTTTTGTAAGTGACTATGAAGTTTATCGCTGGATGAGTTATCCGGACAAAAAAACTTTATCAACACTAACCGCAAATTGTTGAATTACGTAATCTGTTTATTAAATGATTATATATAACTTCTATGAGAGAGAAAAAGAAAGAGATATTTACATACGCATAAATATATCTTTAATAGGGTTTGAGCGTATGAAACTATTCATCGTTTTAAAATTACAATGAACGCATACTGGATTCTCGCTACATGATAACCTTATCAATTTGCCAGTTTATTTTATCACACATCCTTTTCCTCTACGCGCTCGACGATCGTATTCATGAAAATATTTCGAAATAATAAAACTAATATGTGAAAATTATGCGAAGATTCAAGAATATCTAATATAAAGATATACATGTTAGATTAATACTAATTAGTTCAATTGTTACCAGAAAGTATTTTAATGTACATGATATATCTATATACTATCTGAAATTATAAAAAGGAAATTATCGTTAGTTTTTCATTTTAAACTTACAAAATAATATTAAATGTTACATTTCCGTTATAAGAAAGTGGAAAAGGATAGAGAAGTGTGGAAATTTAAGCAAAATAATGCAATATATGTAAAAATCTTTTTTATTCAATATTTTCTTCTGAAAAATAGATGTTGATATTCGTTTCATATAAAACTTATTACTACTGCTAATTAAGTACACTGTACCGAATTGAACTACCACAATCAAGCTCATCCACACCTTCAATATCGTCACAGGCTATGCGTCATTTCCAAGGAGGTTTGTTCCTTTGCTGATCTATTTTTGTAATTTTTTGTGGGAGAGGTATGTGTTCACTAACATCGTGTGTTGTCTGGTAATAAAATACCATTATTTATATACATTATATATGTATATTTGGATTGTCAATTAATTACAGCGTGAAACAAACCTCGGATTCTGGTTGCCACATAATGCTGTCCTCACTCATTATACTTAATTCCTTTTTTAAATAATGTTTTCGCGGTATCTCCCTACATTCTAATGGCGGACTTGAAATGCTGCTTCTGGGTTTTGGATTTTTATCTTTATCTTCTTTTGCTAAATGCATTTCTGCAATCTGTAAAAGTTTTCATTGCATTTGGTTGTCAATATTTAAGATTATCGTCTATAATCTTAATTTTTCTCACCATTTTCACATATTTTCGAAGATCGTCTTTAGATGCAGTTCTAGTGATCAACGGCGTATTTTCAGTAGAATTCGTTGTTATTACGCTTTCATTTTGATCTTCAGGTCTACCGATCAGATTTTGTACCTCTGAAGGTTGAGCCATATGTTTTATCGATCCCTGAGAAAGTTTAGTGTAACAGTTTGGCATTGATTCAGACTTTTTAGGGCCTTTAAAATCAAGATATGTTTTTGCATGAAGTTGTTGAATCGGAGTAAGGTTATCCATATTACCGCCTGTAACATTTTTTAATGTGTACATAAAACACATTGACGGTATAATCATAATAATACAAACAAATAATTATATGTAAATTTGAACATATATCATATGACTAACCTGATATAATATCCAGAGCCTGTTGCCATTGCTTCTGCATAACGGAATGCAATTGTTCCGCAAGTTGGGATTTAGTTGCACGCTGAGAATTCAAGTGTGTCTCTAATATAGATGATCTCTGTAAAGCTTCAGCTAATTGCAATTCGTATAATCGTTTCTCCTCTTTATGTTTTTCTTCCAACAAGTTTATCTCTAAACGATGTCTGAAAAAACCAAATTAAAAATTTTAAAAGATTAAATCAGTTTATTATATGCTGCTGTATAAAAATGGATATAAGAAACGAACTTATCGATAACATCCTTTATTTTCCTGGCAGCGCATTCAGCTATAACTTGCTGCCTTGTTTTCAGTTCCTCTAAAAATTCTGATTCGGCATTGTCAAGTTGTGTTTGAAATTCTTGTAATTTTGTTTTTACCACTTCATCAACTTGTTTCTGATAAACTTCTTGTAATTCTGCGCGGATTTTTTCCTTTTGCTCTACAATAGATTTGATTTCGTCTTTAGCTAATTTCTGAAAAAATAAGCATTATAAACAAACATTATTTATAAAATAACTTAATACTGTAACAACTGTAATAATACTGTAACAAATATTTCAATATATAATATATTACTTCTGCTTTCTTAGCGTCGTCAATAGATTCAAGCAACGATGAATTTTTTTGTTCCAAAATAGAATTTCTATTTATCTCTTCTTTAAGCTTAAGTTGCAAATTTTCTTTTTCCTGTCTGAGCACTGTCAACTCAGCTTCGCAAGCATCTAGTGCTTTATGAATAACACCCATTTCACTCCGCACCTCACCTCCTCTTAAACGTTCTTTGTTCAATTCTACTTGAACACTTCTTAATGTTTCCTCGTTCTGTTGATTCTTTTCTAATAACTTGTTAAATTCTGTCTTCATTTGTTCATATCTATTTTCTGCTTCTTGGACCAATAATTTATAACTTTCTAATTCATCTGCATGGGCTTTGAGTAAATCAATTTTCTCTTTGACCGTAGCATCACTCTTTTCTTTATATCCAGCAGCCAAATCTAAAGCTTTCGATAATTCTCCTTCCAGTCGCTTTATTTGAGTTTGAAGTTCAGAAATTTCAGATTGATGCTTTTCGGTGATATTTTGTAAATTAGTCTGTGAGTTTTTATGTTCAATTTCTAATATTTCGACTTGTTGTTTTAGTTTAGACCAAGATGTATGGAATTGAGATATCAAGACATTTTTCTCATTATCGACTCTAACTGCTACTGCTACTTTTTCCTGTTGTTCCAACAAACGTTTCTGAAGTTCCTGAATTAGATGCTCACAATGCTAAAATAAAAAATATAAAATAATTTCTTTCAAGTACACACAACACACATTTATATATACAATACCTCTCTACGGAATTTCTCCTCTTCGATCTTAATCCTAAGCATTTCTTCTTGTGATCTAGTTGGATTAGAATCCCAAAAATCCGAAAGTGACAAAAGTCGTTGACATTTTCTATAAACAAATAGAATAATTAAAATTTCGTTTTATTCATATAAAAATTCAATATATTTTATTAAAAAATTATAAATACTGATATTAATATTACTAATTAAATGATACTAATACTTTAATAAAAAAAATTAATATACAACAGAAATTTTATAAACTACCTTAAATGAAGATCTGTATTTGTTCCGACATGTACCGAGCTCTTTCCAAGGTCAGATTTTTCTTTATCATATAAATTTCCATTATAACATGATGTTTTACCAAAGTTTAGCAAAGATTCTGAATTATTGGATTGTACAATTTTTTGTGGCATCATGCCAGAAAGTTTAACTAATTCATTAAAATGTGAGGTGGAATCTGTATTCGTAATGGAAGATTTTAATTGAATATGAACATTGCTTTTACTCGATTCATCTGTTGTTAGAATATGTGGATCTGATATTGATTCTTTTGATTTAATATTCTCAATTGCAACAGACGTTACATTAGATGAATGATCTACATTTTTTACACTTCCTATTGTATATCCATTTGGTTTTGGAATAGGTTGTTGAACATTTCGTTCCCATGTCTTAAATTCAGAGATCATTTTATCAGTTTCATTTAGATGGAATGAATCGCTATACGGTAATGATATATCAGGGAATGCATTGTTCGATTTCTTTTGAGAAAACGCTGACGTATCAGTAAGTTGAGTATCTTTGTTCTCCCATGGTTGAAAATCTAATTTTCGATGTGGTCCAGGCTTATGCTGTACTTCCTTTTCTTGACTACTTGCAGTAGTTGCAACAGTTTGATTTGATAACGTTGGATGAACTACCTCATTGCGATATTGATATCCGCTAGTGTTATTTATTCTCTTTGATAATTCTAATTCAGTGGCTTCCATTTCTTGAAGCAATTCATCAACCTCCGATAGTTCCATCTCTTGTACTATTCTGGAACGTGTAACCAGTGGTTGACCTAATGATGCATTAGATGAATTTGATGGAGGTACTGTTGAATATGAGGAAGAAGCGAAGGGTTTATAATACAAGTTATTTGTAGAACAATCATTTGGTCGAAGGGACGAATAGGGATCCTTTTTTGCGGACATATCAGTGGCATGCAAAAGCCCAGTACCGCAGGAAGTTTGAGGTATCACAGAAGAATCAGAATATGATGTTAGAGCATCATGCTTGGCCCAGGTGAGAGTGTTAGTATTAGTTGAATTAGAAGTAGCAGCTGTCGAAACGTAGCACGCAGATCGCGTTGGGTCTTTCTTCAAGGAGTTAGTGCAGAGCTGCGACGAATACCCATTGGGAGTGGAAGGGACCGACAAAGATTTACGCGGCTTCACTGGGGTATTTTGCAAGCTGGCACCCTGACTTGCAGAGAACCTGGTTCTAGGTAGGGTCTGCCGGAGGTAAGGATAAGACGGCTGTGAATCGTTAAGCAAACTGTTTTGCACGGATACGTCCAGACTGCTGGACTCCCTGGACTCGATAGCGGAAATTCGGGACTCCAGCGATTGCATATGCCCCACCAACTCCGAGATAATACCGGTCCTGCCACAATCCGTTCTCCCGTGATTGCACGAACTGGTGTCGGAATCAGACGACGGGACGTGGAATATATCGGGCGGGATCAGGAGCAGAACATCCGTGTCATCGGACTCGCTCATTATCCATCTAAACAGTCATCTGCCACCGGTAGCGAATTATTAACCGGCTTTAACACAGGCCAGTCGATATTTGCAAAGCGCTCGCAAAGCCCCGTCCCGTCATTGATGTTTGTATACAACAGAGAAGTAGTTGGATGCGCCGTACCGGATTAGGTTAGGTTTCGGCTTCGTGCAGCGTATATCCACACGATGACGAGATGGCAATACGAAGTATATTTCGTGTGTCCGAGTAACGGATCATAAATGGCGATTAATCATTTCTAATCCGTTGCGTAACAAGCTGCATCGCGAAGATATATATATATATATATATATATATATAGAGTTCCGAAATTTTGTAAACAAACTTGAACGACACTCACGCACCACAAAAGTCAACATTACGCTCTCGGACGCCCTCGTCAGTTCAGTGAACTCGATACTCATATTGGAATGCTCGCGGCGTTTCCCTTTTATCCGAAAACTCGATCAAACTAACAAACAAGTGCTAGCTAAAAATAATGTGATTGAGAGCAGGGATTTGAGAGTATCTCTTCTGTTCAGTACCGCAAAATCACGATTCTTCGATTAGCTTCCTCTCTGTTGAGTACCTTTGATGTGTAATCCTATGTCAAATTTAATTCATTTTGATAATTAATCTATTTTATTCCAATCAGATTGAATATTAAGATTTAAATTTAAGATATTAAGATTTTGATAAATATGCAATATAACGCTCTCTTCTCCGATTTTTTTTTGTATTTTCATGCGTAGAATATATTCTGAAAAAGAAAATCATCGCTTAAGTGCCGTTTTCTCTTTTCTAATTTCAAAGTTTTTTAATATTTGAACTTCTATCCACATAAAAAGAATGAAAAGAATATAAATTTTGAATTACAAATTATTCTCTGTTATAATTTAAATTATATAAAAAAATAAGTTGTGTTTTTAATTAATTAAAGCAAGAATATGATAAATATGCAGCTATAAATTATCATTTTCTAACTAACGTTAAAAAACTTTGAAAATAAAAAAAAGGTTAGGAGCGATTTTTCCTCTCAGAGTATATTTTACGCATGAAAATACAAATTTACAAAATTACAAAAAAATCGGAGAAGAGAGTGTGATACTGCATGTTTACAAACATTTTTATATACTTTGTATTTTTTTTAGCTTCTTATATATTTTTATAATTTTCAGTGTTGATCAGTGTTGATGATTAAGTTTTAATATCAACAATTATTAATAAAATGTATAATGATAATTTACCAACTATCGATATTTTGAAAACCATGTTGATGAGAGATGAGAAATCACAAGAAAATTATAATTAAATATTATACTATATATAGCAGACGTCTTATTCTTTTACTAATATATATTTTGTATAATGATCATCTTCGTCCATTAATAATTACTTTTAACTATCTTGAACCTTTTATCTGTATATCGACCGTCGCAGATGCATAAAACCGATATATCAACAGAAGGCAGATGGAGAATTAAATGGAAAAGATGATGAAAATTTCTACAAACATCTACTTCGTACAAATAATAAATAACTGAATGTGATAAAAATGCATTATAAGATGATAAAGAATGAATGAATGAAAAGAAAGATAAAGATAGATGATAAAGAAAGAAAAAGATCCGATACACGTATAAATTTGAATTCAAAATTTCTTTCATAAATTTCATAGAATAAATCATTATCATTTTTTCCTAACTTAGATATGGAATCTAACGTAATATGAAAGATATAAGGAAAATGGAATTGAAATTTCGCATAACTTTCAGTAACTTATTTTCTCCCTTATCTGCTATCTCCATTATGGATGAGTGAAAGTGAGAAAACTATCCTCCTCTATTTATGCATTTTGATACAAGAAACTTTAATTACAAGTCGTTATCAATTTTCTTTTTTTATCTTCTGTCTGTTATATTGTTGAATTATAAAGCTGAATATATTGACATGTAAAAAATGTGTGAATATCCTGGAAATAATTGATTGAAAGAAAAAAAATAAAGAATATTCTTCAACGTATCGCTTTATTAAGTTCTCATAATGCAAATGCGCTTCTTCTCGGTGGACTACAATATTTATCTCATTTTTATGTAATATTATACACCTGCTTAAGGTACACCGTGAAACGGTCTTGTGTCGCGTGTACTCTCGTATCGTGTTGCGAAATACACGCGTGTGTCAGAAGAGAAAGAGAGAAAGAGACAAAAAGAGGACAGACGCAGAAGCTTTTTTTTATAATATTATGAATATCACATTAGGCTATACCACGTATCTATAACAGCGTCAGATATGAAATATGATGGATGCATTAAAAAGTAGTCGATCGTTTATTTGACACATCTCAATAATCGATTTAAAATCCGCTTTATATATTGACGTTTTGCATTTATAACCATCTCTCGAAAATTGATATTTTATTCCGAACATAATTATTGCATTAGCTAAAAATCGAAATATTTCGGTCTAAAATCTATTACTAAGTATTATTCTGTATATAAATAAATATTATTAATTCATGTCATAAATTTTTATCAAGATAAAAATATTATAATTGATGTATTAGTTTAAAAATTTTCATCTTTTCGATTTTATATAGCATAGATTCTTAATTATGCTTTTTCTAAAAATATTGGTTATCAGACCACAATAAAAATTAATATATGCAAACTGGATAATTATGGTGGCTTTTAAGATATTAATTCAATGAACGATCGAATAATTTTTAGTGCGTCATCTAACATTTTCGCTACCAGCAATTGCGAGGACCCTTTTAAAGAGCTCGCGTAAATTAACGAGAAAATGCTGTCGCATATGCTTACCAATAATAATTACAGTTTCTTTATCGTTAACTCTTAAGTATAGACCGTAATATTGTTGCATTAAAAAAAGTATAATTTATTCAACTTTTAATCAATTTGCTGCATTTTACATGACACGCAACGTATAAAATATATGGGCTTGCGCATTTTGCAAATAGAAAACTCCCTACATAATATTTAATTCAATACGAGTTAAAAACGAGAAATATTAAACTTTTTTTAATAAAAAATTGATTTGTTGGTTTGGTCTCGAAATAGAAAAGTATTATCATTAATATAATACAATGGAATAAAAAGAAAGAATATTAAAAATACGTTACAATTGTTGTAAGAGAATATAATGGAAAAAAAAAAAAATTGAAAGAATATGCTACAATTTAATAATTCTAATATAGTTATATGAAATAGTTGTAAGAATATGCTATTCAATAGAACCATTCGTGAGGCAAGTGGTCTGCCTTCACCTGTACGTAAGAGCTCTTACTTAAGGGTTAACGGCAATGATCAGCATTCTGAACATGCGCATGGGGGGGAAGGGATTGTTACGATACCCTCAAAAAATGCAACGAATGCAAGTTTGAACAATGCAGGGGTAGGCGTGCATATGTATGCGTATGCGTGCGTGCGATGACACGGCGCCCGAACGCATGTTGGCATTTCGCATGAAGTTTGCATTCGAGGCACCGTTGTGTATCCGAAGCTTATGCGGAAGTTCCTGCGTATAAACCGTCGGCAGAGTAAATATCCAGGCTCGGCATCACGATACGATTTACAACGATCAACACGACACGCTTCTGCGCGTGTGAACACGACGCGCGAACACTGATTAACTTTATTATTTAATGATGAAGTTAAATGATAACGAATTATCATTTAGCCCGTCGCACGCGCATCATTGAAGGAAATCACAATCGAAAAATAAACTGACGATTATTGGCGCAATACTTTACATAAACCTTTTTACGTAAATCATTACATTTCGCCGATGAATCCGTAATGGCGGTTTTTCCGGTGAAATTGAAGTCACTTCTGTCTTAGCGAAAACTTGTAACGACTCGATATTACAAATATATTATAAATATAGTGTAAGTATTTAATATTAAAAATTAAAAGATTTAGACATGTTGGATTCATAATCGTAAACTTTAAATGTTATAAATATGTAATCTTAATTTAATTTGAGACTTAACGTAAAAAATTCATGATAAATAATCGCTGAATTGAAACAAAGATGGAAGAATCTTAGGACGAAGATGGCTCTTAGAAAAAATCTACGTTTTCGTTAAGAAGAAGTGTACTTCGGATTCATCAGGATCAACAGTTGTTATCAACGTAACAAGTGTGTGAGCACTCTGCGTATCAACGAAACTATCACCAAATTCGCGCGTCATCAGATTGTATCGTTAGAAATCGTTGCAACTTTCACGAAACCGCGATTTATCTACAGCGGCACATGGTATAGCGACGGATCTTTCTCTGTATTCTGTATGCTATACAATCATAAGACTACCGTGAACGGACACTCGATGACTACTTAGGACATACGATTTTAATCTTATTCGTAAAACCGATAAATATATTTATATATCTATACAGTATACAAATCACATTCTGCGTTCCCTTCCGCTTCCCTGACAGCCACGGTGGCACGACACTTTATGTAATTACTGTATACGTTAACGACATGCGGCAACCTTACTGCCGCGTTAGAATTTGCCAAACTTTCTGGTGTTAGGAGTGTCACTTGTATCGTACATATCGTTATTCCAAATTGACAAAAGACATGTAAAAGAAAATAATTGACATTCTGAGACTTGTATTACGTACGCGAAACCACGATTAAAATACATTGGTACAAACTCTCTCCCGTTGCTCTCTATTGTCTCATCTTTTGAGGACGATGATCAAATATCCTTTAATCCAAGATGGTTTTAGAGAATATATATTAAATATCGATCTTTCACCGATTGTGAGCAAATTGTCAATATATTACTTAGCAGTTACCGATGTAACGTGTGTATTTAATTTGGTATAGATCTTAATTTATCCGTAATTACTATCGTCTTCTTTAGAGCGCGTTTCGTTTATTTATTATTAATATTTATGACGTCAGCTTTTGATATTTAAAAATTTTTATAATTTTCTTTAATACTTTCTAAATTGGCAGTAAACAATAAGTATTGATTAGTGCGATTGATCGTATAACATATTAATGAAGAAAGACAGCAGTTTGAACGGGATTAGATAAAAAATTTGCATGCAGTTATATAAAAAAGTGCAATATAAAAATTTTACTGTATGCATTTTGTATGTATTGCCTACGGGCAATTTCCGAAAAATGAAAAATATCAAATAGCGTGATACGAGTATGATAGATAGATTTTAACTTTTCTGCATTCTATACACTATAAATTAGTCATAATCAAATATGGAGCAATAAAATATATCGTATTTTTCTATTGCACATCACATGAAAATATATCTTTATTGCAT